TAAATACATTAATTACGTAATGCGATATATTGTTCGTCACGATTCGCATGATAAAGCATTAAACCAATTTACGACACAGTAATTTCGTAATTAAACGATAACTATATAAATTAACAGTAGAATCTGTTGCAATTTTCTGCGCGTAGTCTAGCAAATGCTTAAAATATCAAACTATTAAATTGAATATGATTGTTAAAATTAATTAGTCGTTCGAATCGGATCCAATTTGATTAGCGTCTGACTTCAGACTTGAAGATTTTTTAGCGTTGCACCTATATATTATAGCCAGCTGTATGACTGCACTTAGGCATTTGGAAAAAGCTCGAGAATCGGAGAGGAAACGAGAAAGTGGTCGAAATAAAAAAAAAAATAAAGAGAGGCGGGAAAAACGTTATATGTAGCTGAGGAACGCGCGGTTGGCGGATTCGTGCGTGTGTACGAATTCACACATACGTGCGAGCAGTGCGAGCCACGGCTCGATGATCGAGCACGTATCTGCCTGCAAGAAGCACGCTCACGCTATTACCGTCAGTCGTCGACGATCGCTCAGCGAGTCGACACGGAAGTGAGTGGTCGTCCGCTCGCTCGCGATCGATCTCGCGTGACCTCGTGGCGCGTTTTATCCATCATCACAAGAGACCGACCGACGAGAACCTTGCAGGCCTACATCTTGCAATATCTTGTCATCTTGACACGCTCGTGTGTAAAGCGCGCTATCGCCTTTCTTTCTCCCTTTCCCTCTCCCTTCCTCGCTCTCAATTACGTCGGCGATAGTCTTATCTGGATTGGATTCGGGCGACGCGACGCGACTCGCGTATTCAATACGACGACGATAAGATATATGCCGTTTCATTGATTCTCGTCCGATTTTCGGAGTCGAACACGCGGGAGAGAAAACAGAGTCTCTCTCTCTTTCTCTTTCTCTCTGTCTTTCTCTCAAATGCGCCGCATCTAGTGTATCACCGATAATCGTGACATCGCGCGGCGTGTTACGTTAACGTCGCCGCCGCCGTTATCGTCGTTGTCATCGTTCGCCGTCGTCGCCGTCAGCCCCGTGGTCGCTGTCAGCTGTGATCAGCTGTCAAACGCAGTGAAGATGCCCGCGCGGCTCAGCAAGTTCTCGTTTGACGCGCCTTGCATGGATTACGCTCATCCATGGACGGACTCCTGTGTCAGCGCGACCACTGGCCTCGGTCTGCACTCCCTGCAGGAATCCTTCAGGATATACGCGACTGTTTACATTGTACGTGCGATTGCGTCAATGCACTTCCTTATGTTATTGCTTCTCTTTCGTCGCAGAATAACCAGACCGTGACGAGTGTATGGACCACCGTGGTGAGGGGAAGGGAGGGAGGAGGGGGGGAAGGGTGTGTACCCCCAGGGTCCGTCGTCGATTTCCCCTTTTTCGGGACGCGCGTTCTGGCCCTTTCGAGACAGGTGCATTGACGTTGGTCGGGATTCGGGTCGGTGCGCCTGCACTCAGCGCACCGCGTGACCCCCGGGCCGGGTTCGTTTCGGTGCGTGCCGGGTGCGGATGCACCGCATTTGTACCCGTTTCGCGAAATCAACAGACGCCGAATGTTAATATCAGTCGACGCGCGATTATTCGGACACTTGGACGGTGAATCTATGAGTTTGCGCGAACGACGCGAAACGATAGAAAAAAAGCGTGAGAAAGGAACGAGTTTTCCACGCTAACGGTGACTTCGATCCAAACTCCGTTATTAACTTGTCGAAAAATGTTCGCAATATTTCACTGGCATGGATGAAATTGCGTTAATTGTTTATTGACACTTCTATAAGTAAAAATTTTGATTATGACGAATTTAAATTGGAAATTTTACTTCAAGTGATTTTGACGCCTATAAATTATTATAGTTGTCGATTAGGTCGATGATTAATCGGAGTTTGATCGAAATCGCTCTAAACGCGAGTTTAGAGCGATTAGCTCGAGCGTTTAGTGAGTTTAATTGTTTTTACTGGTCTTGTTTCTGAATCGTTTTTTTTATATATGGAATAAAAAATTTATATTATATGAATTATAATATTATATGAATTATATTATTGTATGAAGTCTTGAGAATGTCATGCATATGCCTTTTTATTCTTTTAGCTACATTTTTTTATTTAATTTTTTATGCTTTACATAATGGCTGCAAAAAAGTGGTTTTGCAACTGTTGTAAAATTCATTAATATGATTAGTTTATACATTTAGATTTATGAAAAATTAAAGGCAAGAACTAATTATGTTGAATCTCACAACACTTGCAAAGCTGTTTTCTCTGCTGAACACAGCCAATGATTTGAAAAAATTAAAAAATAACGAAATAAATAAATTCTTGTGTGGAAATGTCTGACTAATAAATCAGCGCTTAATGCCTGAATATCTTAGAAACTAATGTAAACTCGAAATAAGATTATAGATTAATTTCGAGAATATGAATTATGTTGACATAATGCCTCGGTGATGGAAAAACGTTGAAACTTTAAACTCGTATGAATGACGCACTGCGTGAATTTGTATATACATTTCACGTCCGGTATTTTCGGTTTTAATTAACACACATTAGAAATTGATTTAAACAAATTAAAAACTTCACGTAAACCGTAACGCCTAATTTATGCCAAAGAGGCTTCGGGATATTCGTGGACTTTTCGCCTTTGTCCTGTTCACTACTGACCGACACAATTTGCATTGCATTCGACACACATTTGTTTTTGCCAGTTCATTCTATATTTAGTGCTATTTAAGTAACCGTTCCAAAAACTCATTAACACATACAGGTTACAGTGCGAATGAATGGCCCCATTATCGTCACCGCGAGAATTAATTGCGCACTGCCTCTTAAATTAATGTTTGTCGAAGTATAGATAAGAAGGAAATAAAATTGAGAAATGATATATGGACGCATATAAGCTAGATTTATGCGAACGCGTTTATAACTGATAATTAATCATAAGACTTAACAATTATGGACGCTAATCTCGACTGTAATCTCGATTGTAATGACTCATTACAATTTTTTCTTTTATTGCGACGTACAATTTACAATAATATAAATCATTTTTGGTGATGTAATTTTATGAAAATTGTAGTTTAAAATTTTCATAAAATTGTCCTTAAAGTAATTTTCTTGTCATTTCAGATTGCGTTTTTAATGAGAAGAAAAAAACCAACGAAGGAGGATGTCAAGAAAACTATATTGGGTATCCTCCAATCCACAGCGTTCCTTTCGTGGAGTGGTTTTTCTTATTCGTTGTTTATTTGTTTGTTAAGGTATGATAAATGAAATGGTTATTTAATGAAGTTAAAATTTTTGAGAAAACTTAAAAATAATTCAAGCCTCTTTTCAATACCTCTTTCAAGAAATACGCAGCAAAAGCATTAATAAAAGCATTAATATTAAAAATATGAGCATTGAAGAACACAGTTAATAATTGTGATAATTATGTTTCAGGCGGACGCTTGGACGTTTTTACATGCCGACTGTATCTTTTCTTCCGTCCTTTTTATCTAGCCTATCTGCCATTGTGATAGAAAGAGCCTCTAGACGTACGTTATTGTGTCTCTATGTGTCGAACGTTGTAAGTAGATGTTGCAACATCAAATTGATAATATTATACATTTTAATATAATATAACATTATCGTTGACTTTTTTTTTAGGCGACGGAAACCTTGTTCAGAATGGGTGTGTGGCGAGGGTACTACTCGCCTATTCCGAGAGGACAGGTCTATATCTTTGCCGTAAGCGTAGCTGTGTTACTGTACTTCTTCCGTTCGAAGACGAATAAACAGGATCAGATATATAAAATATTTAGGTATCTCAATTTATATTATGCGCGATGCATATAAATCTCTGCATCGTACATGTATATGTGTGATTTTAAAAAACAGGATGATTGTTGGGAAGTACGAGGACACTGAATATCTTACAAAGAAGGATTCCGAAATATCGAGAAACACCGCGAGTGGTGGCGAAATGAGTGACAGAAGTATACGTAGGAGCTCTGCAAGACATAAATTTAATATTCTATGGAAGTCTTTTGAGGCATACAAATATATCATTAATAGCCTAAAAGCACAAAGTAAGGATGTTTCGTGTCCGCATCCTCATAGCTGCGCACATTACATTTTAGCGGTGAGAGCATAGCGATATACAAATATTGTAAAAAAAATTATTCTTTGACATAACGTTTTCTTTTTTATTTAAAGGATAGTGCAAAGATCTTCAGTTATTGCGTTGGCGGGCAAATAGCGCTTAAATTGATCTTACAATTTAACAGATTACTTCAGAAGCCGAAATTATTAAAAAGCACCATCTTTCAAAAAGGAAATTTGAATTTTGCTGTGTTTCTTGGAGGATTTGCCGGCCTTTATAGAGTATGTCATCTTGCTCTGCACATCTAATGCAAAAATGTGGAATAATATTAGTAATATCTTTCGCAAGTAATTTCCGCTTACCGATTTTTTTTCTTCATATATAGCTAGTGTCATGCATGTTGAGAAGAACCTTCCACGAAGATTCGCACTTGTACGCCATTCCTGCTGGACTTATCGCAAGCGTAACGTTTTTGGCATATCCCGATACTACTATAGCCTTATATTTCATGTGGAAAACATTACAGGTATTATTACATGTATTTCTATTAATATATTAATAGAAATACATTTTATTAATATATTCATGTAATAGATTATGATGTAACATCACCGGCTCTGTTTCAGTTGCTGTGGAACGATGCAGTGGAAAATGAGAAAGTACCTGACGTAAAGTGGTTCTCGATCTTATTGTATTGCTTTAGCACGGCACTTCTCTTTCACACAGCCATACTGGAACCACAGAATTTAAGGTCATCCTATTGGAGATTTCTTTATACACAGTCCGGTGGAAGGTAAACATCGTGCGATTCAGAATAAAATAAAAGATTATATTTGATTTAAGATCCACTTTATTATTCTCACTTTGTATGTATTGATTCCAGAATAGCAGTAATGTCCCGAACACAATTGGACGTGTTCGGTCTAGAAACCAGCAAGCATTTGCAAGCAGTGCTCAGAAAAACGAAAACCACGGATCAGCTTACCTTTTCTTTCTGAAATGTTGAGTATAAGTATCAAAAATGACAATACGTACCTTTAAATGTCTTTATTTTCCTAAACCAAAGACAACCTGTACATTAGATGCGTTTATATAAATTATAAACCTAAATTTTATGCGATCAACAAGTGAAACAAAATGTAAAGTATATCTTAGCGTAGCAAACTGAACATCGAACGTTTGTTTTTTTTTTATTCTTCAACCCAATTCGAAGCAATGGTGCTTGGATATGTTGTGATAGTAAAAGAACTTAATACTTTTATACAAAGATGTAACTTATGTAACTTAATATATTTGATTGAGATATTTGGTTGTATGGTGTGATAATTGTATGTCAGGGAAGTAGATAAATATTAATTGTATGAATAGAATGTAGCTATTAATATCAGTTTATCTACGAGTACGTTCAAATTCGTAGCGAGATATTTTCATCTTTTTCTCTGCGCTGTATACATCACAAATTATTTTTTTCTATGTTTAGTACAAACTTTATTATGTTTAACGCTGATATAATATAAACACGTTCCAGACGGATAGCTTTGTTGTACGTTTATTATAAATATACACAACTTATTTATTGGAGGCGGTAGACAATAATGTTCCATTACGTCCATTATAGCTTTATTACTGTATCCATTACGTAGCATTTTTTGTAACATTATTTTTGGTTTTTAGCCATCTCTAATGCTCTATCCATTATAACATCGACGACATCCTTGTCATGTTTCTTCTCCACTCTCCTTTTTTTTCGTAATACGTCGTCCCAATTAATGCGACTTCGCATTTTCAAGTTCTTACGATTTATAATACCGGCGACTATTTGAGAATCTAGAACTGAAACGGAGTGTCTCGATGGATTCAGTTGGAGTGGCTCCAAACTCTTCAACGAGTCTATCTGCCACGGCAGTAATCCAATGGGACATCCAACCCATTGATAATTATCTGAAAATCAGACAAAATATTATTAATCCTTCAGATTATTATAAGTGTCTTGGAAAAACTCATGTTCGTAAATACGTACCATACGCGGATTTCCAATTTGAATTACGGATTATTTGATCTGCCAATAGATGAGAAGTTTCCTTTCTAGTTGCACGTTTTATTTTATATATTTGCCCTTCATTTTCTATTGGACTTGGATCGAGATCTTCGACACTAAATATTTTATCAACATCATTGCTGTCCTCATTGTCATATTTTTGGAAGGTGTAAATTTGAAGGAAATTTAACAAATGTTTTTTTGTTTGCGCATTTATTCTCGGTGTAAGTAACTTTAAAATTGGTTCTACCAATCTTGCAGAGAATTCATTCACGTTTAATAAAAGTCTCGATAAAAAATTTGTATCTAGAAGAAAGGGCGGAATGGTACTTGATATGTCTAACCACAGGACGTTTCGAAAGTACGGATGTTCAGAGTGTATGCGTTCCTTGAGACGTTGACTTAAAGTTTTCGTGTCTAGTTTTGTGTCCGTCTTTTGCAATTCATATTCCACGGTATGAGAAATACGTTGGACGATGTCCAGTTGAACGAAACTATAGAAGATCGAGCTTAACCACAAGGCGGCAAGATTTCTTCGTTCTTTATCCTCACGTTCTTGGTCTACGATATTGAGCAGCTTAAAGAGCAGCGTCTCTAACATTTCTCTTTTGTGCAACAAGAAAATTATATCCTTCCAAAATCGAAGCATTCTAGGCAGCAAAATCCGTCTCTTCAAATTAGTATCCCTTTTTTCTTTCTTTCGAAAGATTTTCATGATATCTAAATCCGGCAGAAAAGCTTTATTTTTGCATATCGCGTCGCAAATGGCATCGCTCTTCTCATGCATTGTACTCGAGGATTCGTTCAAATCCACAGATATCTTAGATAAAAGTAGAGCTTGCGCAGCTTGCAAATTGTACTCTTTATCAATTTTTATAGTTCTTTTGTAAACGAATATATATTCATTCTCATCATTGTCCGAGGTTTTACTTCTGTACTGAGACAGCATGTCCGCGCGTAGATCTTGCAATATTTCCCTGTGACAAGTAAAGAAAAATTAATTTAGCTGCATATCCCATAATTCCATGTTAAGGACTTGTTGATTAGAAAAAAAATGCCGACAGAAATAATTCAATTTGCAATAAAAATATACCGTAATTGCGTCTCTGGTAAATCCGACACTAATTTATATCCAGCATTGACGTATAAACTAATAGCTGTCCAAAGTTCAATCACATCTGTAAAGTTCTGCGCTTCGTCGGATTCTTCCTCCTCGTCTAAAGTATCAGCTTCCTTCACGTAACACTTCTCCATTGCGCGTGCCTCAGGTGCCCAATACTCATCCTTTAGACACAAAGCATTTACAAATAAATTTGTAATACTTAATATACATAGTAATTTTGTGGCAGAGAGATAGACAGACATACGTGCAACCAATGCAGCAATATATTGATTGCTATCCTTAACACTCCAATGGACGGCAATTCGTATCCGTGGGCAGTGTCATGCCTCAACTGGACTATCCACTCTGGGATTTTCAGTTGACTGGCGATCTTAAACATGGACGTCTGCTTCGTATGGCCTATGTTGGAGAAGTGGTTCAGGAATCTCATTATCGTGGTCGAGTACATCAGGCTCAGGTCGTTCTCGCAGTACATCGGTAGCTCGCCGCTGTCGATCTTCGACGTCCATTCGCGATCGCGGAGGCACACTTGCAAAATTGACAGAGTGCAGTCCACGCCCACCGGTAGTTTCGGCATCCTAGAGAAACAGCGATAAATCTCCAAAAATCCGTCTCGGTAGAATCACAGTTGAATAATGTGTGTAACATCGGCGTCACCTGGCTTTCCACGCTAGGAGCGTCTCGTAGGCCTTCGCCTGCTCGACCGCGTCGTTGGAATAAGTCTGCCTGTACACGTCGTGCCATTCTGCCCTTGGGATCGACAAATCCAATCATCCGTTACGAGATCTTTTTCGTACGAAATTAAATTTCGTTTGTTAATTGGTACTTACGGAGATAACCACGGCACCTGTTTCACACCGTCGTGTTTCCCGGACAGCGCCATGCCCGCCGATGTTTACGTGCCACACCACGTGCTTTTAAACGTGGTCCAGCTCGAGCTATGTATTTAGATCTCAGACGTACGAGAAAAAAATCGATATTAAGTAAATTACAATAATTAAAATAGTCTGGTCATAAATATATGTCGTTTGACGGCAAAATAAATAAGAAAATATGTTTGAACAAAGAAATGAAGCGAGCTTGCCGAAGACGTCGATCGGCTTCAGTGTGGCTGCAAGCAGAGGTTATGTTTTCGTCCCTGTTTTCTGTCTTGCTCTCTCCTTGTATCTTATTGTAGGCCTATCTCGCTTTAAGTGCAGAAATTACGAAGTAGTGCAGCTACAAAGAGCAGACTGTTACTACTAGTACTAAACAGCTGATAGTAATAACAGCTCATAGCATATCTACGAAATTATATATACATACGTATGTCTCATTAAATTATAATGTAATAATAATAACAATGGCGAGGAAAATCACAACGGTGCTGATAGACCTCAGCGGAACGTTGCATATCGATAACACGGCTATTCCGGGCGCTGTACAAGCGTTAAACAGGTTAGATATTTGTTTTTGTTTTTTTTTTAAACTTGGGTGTATGTTTTATTACATTTATGTATGTCATTCATACATCGGCCACAGCGCAATCTCTATAAAAATGGCGCGATTTAATTTTAAGTTTCCTAAATAAAATTCGAAAATTTATTTCGACTCTACTTGTTTTGTAAAATATATATTTATGCACTAGGCTAATTTAATGATTAAAAAATGTATTGTGTGTTTAATAACGATTTTTATGACTAATTTAATGCAGGCTGCGAAATGCAAACCTATTGATTAAATTCGTCACCAACACCACCAAGGAGTCAAGTAATTACTTATACGAACGTCTGATAAAGCTTGGATTCGATTTGCGGAAAGAAGAGATCTTCAGTTCTCTAGCGGCGGCGAGGAAATTAATTATCTCCCGGCGATTGAAGCCGATGCTGTTAATCGATCCGGCGGCGATGGAGGATTTTCAGGATTTAACAACGGACGATACTCCTGACGCAGTGGTGATTGGCTTGGCGCCGAGCAAATTCAATTATGACGAGCTAAACAAAGCATTTAGGTATAGTTCTGTACATCATTCTCTCTTTCGTCTCTGTCGTTTGACACACATGCGATACTTTCAGATTGCTTTTGAATGGTGCTTCCCTCATAGCCATTCACGAAGGGCGATATTACAAGCGCCCGGATGGTCTGGCCCTAGGTCCTGGGGCATTCATCAAAGGACTGGAGTACGCTAGCAACGTGAAAGCAGAGGTTGTTGGTAAACCGACCATAGGATTTTTTAAGGCGGCCTTAGAGGAGACAGATTCAGCGCAGGCTGTAATGATTGGAGATGTAACGTTTTAAATCACATCGTCTTTCTTTTATTTTTTTTTGTGTACTATTGTAATCTTTTTACACGCTCAAAAATACGAATCCTTTTGTTATTAGGATGTAAGAGATGACGTAGCTGGTGCACAGGCAGCTGGGATCAAAGGTATTCTGGTACAAACTGGTAAATATAGAGCGGGAGATGAGAGTACGATCACTCCGGGACCGGCGAAAGTGTGCGCCTCCTTTGTGGAAGCTGTCGAGAGTATTCTCGGTGAGATTATTTAAAGACTTGTGGTTCGACGAAATTACTAAGCGCGTATGTAGCAATAGAATTCTTTATTCAAATATCGCTGCGCGATGCAATCTCTTTTCTATATTAAATTATTTTATATAAATACTGGATTATCTTATATAGTGTACATAGTCTGGAGTGATGCCGTATTATTGTTATAAAACAGACGGAATAAATACAAATAAAAATGAATGTCAATTCTCTGATATGGAGCTTTACATATGTCGTTTTTGCCTATTAATGTAAGTTCCGATAGAGACACAATATCAATAGTAATATACATTACAAAGATAATCAGATAAATATGAAAGTAGTTTCGAGGATAGAAATATATCGTCTCGTTAAGACACTCGTAGAAAATTGTAGAAAATTTGACTTGTTCGGTTTAACGTCGAAAAGTTTAATAGTTTACACGTCGGGACAGTAAAATGTATTTTACAAAGCAATCTGACGCAAGCATTCGATCTTTTCAGCAGAGACGATATTAGTCTACAATCTTATAATCGTTTCTAAAAAATTATGAATTTAATCTTTCACTACGTGGCGCCTTATGTCGTATAAGTAGTACCACTGTAGGACCTCCAACAAAGAAACATGCTTACAGAAAGGAAATTCTGTCTGTACGGTGCTTTGCGAGTATCGTTTTCCGTATAAAATTTGGCACCGGAATTTGCTACTTTGTTCTTTAAATCTCGTTTTTCTTTTTACATATAGGTTGAAGAAAGATGAAATCAATATTTTGATTTTTACACTATTAACGTTTTCATATTAATACTTCCGTTTTTTCGTGCAAAAATATCATGTCTGGTGAATGAAACGACTAAATTTACCATCTTTTACTAAATGAAATTATATGCTGCCTGCTAAAAAAATAAATAATAAATATAATTTCATGATGATAACATGGTAACTTTTTATGATTTATCATTGGTAATGTAAAAGAGAAATGCTAATTATGCAATATGTATCTTGTAACTATGGGCTGTTTTAAATATCGATATAAGCCGTGATTGAAATGCCCTCTGTAACTTATGATCTACGATCAGGCACATCTTGATTACTCGCATTATGATAACAAATGTGTCTAAGATGAATGTTTAAATAAAAAAAAAAGAATGATTACTCTTGATTCATGCGAGAAATCTGTATAGAGAACACTAATATATACATTTTCAGAAAACTATGCAATGAACTGAAAAATTAGTCGATTGGACAATCATTATATAAATAAAATCATATATCAATTGTAATAAATTGAAATAATTTCGAATAGAGAAGGCAATTTTCATTTCTTGTGATATATCATATCGAGATAAAAAGGTAACTATATTTTTTCGCATTAATTTTTCGATCTAATTTACATTTGGTTCGAAAAATTATTCTAAGATTTAATAACGTTTTAAAAAAATATAAGTTCACTGCACAATTTCTTTTGAAACAACTCGTGTAAAGATAACAAATAAGGCATTCTTAACTAGGATGATACAATTTTTGCCAGCCACGCATCCATATGTTTTCACTCAGTCAAGAAATGTTTCTCTTTCTCTTTCTCTCTCGTAGTACCTTAACAATACATATTTGGATAGAGAACGAAAACGAGTGACAGCAAATAATTTCTAACGTATGTAAAGCATTAACATTATCAAACCAAGGTAAATCCGGGCTTGACAATAGATAAAATTGTAACGTACATTAACGTCTAGTTAAAATGACAAAATATTATTTACATTTATAAAAAGATTGCTCTCATGTATACACAACTTTAATAATGCAAACAATATATTGTATCTCACAGACCATATTAAAAACTAGTATAATTTCTCTTCTGGCAATAAACTTTGCAGTAATAGCAAACATTATTACTGCAGCTCTGAGTTGTTTGCACAATAAGATCTGTTAAATTTTTATTCATACGGCATACTATATTATTAATGGACATTATTCACAGTCGTGTTCATATACATACAATTTACAATCTAGAAAATAATCGAAAGTTAACTTAAGAACAACTACATAATTTTTATTCATCATAAATCTTTTCAAAGATCAAATTCTGTTGAATACTGTATATCCTTCGACAATTATATTATCAATGGCATTTATATAGGATCTTATAAAATTTAATTTTTAGTTAAATATACGTACATATATCTCATATTTATATTTTATTAGCTTTGATCAGGACAGAATTTGACCTTGTTACGCTGCAGACAAATACATTCTCTTACTTCCTATATGAACGATAGGAAATATGGAACTTCTAATTTGGCTATTCAAATATAATTTGATTAATGGTAAATTGACATATCTCTTTTCTCTGTTTCATATGTGTATACATATATATGTATATATATATGTATGTATATACACACATATATGTACATATATATATTTTTTCTTCTCACTCTCTAATATAACAAGGCAGGTGTGGAGTATACATTTTGCATGCATGCATATAACAAAACACGTTGTAGAATTTCTTATATTCTGAATAAATATTCAATACTTTTATTACAATACTAAAAGAAGACGATTCTACGTACTGATTACGAAATACAGCTAAAATAGAATTAATAAAAGAAATTTGAGAAGCATTTGGGATCACCTGGATCCATTAGACCTAACGAAACCAACAATTTTCTCGGCCATGCAGTCTGTCCCCCTTTTTCTTTGTTGCATTTGTGCCATACGTTCTTATTGATACTTTTGAAGTGGGAAGACGATATATGGCTGACAACAAGCACTTTAAACTCTATATCCAGGTACAAAAAGCATGATGTTCTCAAGCAGATTAATCGAGAGTAATGCTCCGTTGTGTGAATTTGGCCGCAGGATGCAAGTGTATAAAAGTGAGCAATTTACATTAATACTTCCACACATTATTGCCTTAGAACTTTATGTTGTGTCCTAATACTCCAAATACGCCTCGCTTTCCTTCGCTTCCGCCTCGACATCACACGAAACATTCGTTAAATCCAGGTGATCATTTCCTAAGAAGAAGGTGGTACAAGGTACCATATTCTGCAAGTAGCCCATGTATTTTCCACTATTCTGAAACGAATCAATTTTTAATTTTTTTTCTAATGAAAAAAAAGAAAGAGTGCGTGATATACTTTACCATGGTATAAAACCAGGCACACTGTAAAGGTTCATGATGTAATGCAGTTAATCCTAACTATTTAACAGGGCGATAATGAAGTGTTAAATCCGCCGAACTTTTCCAAATGAAATGTCTAACCTGAGAAATAGAGAAACACACGTAAAAAAAAATATTCTCTCAAGGAATACAAAAGAAGGTTTACTTAGCTTGATACATACTGTTCTCAAGTCCATTGAAGGATCCAAGACTTGATCGTTACACAGGAGTTCAACTTTTTCCTCGGCCAGCGAAGAATTATCAGCATTGGAGTCTGTGTTCGTCCTATCGCCCGCCGGAGATCCGCTGGAAACCGTATTTCCGCCACCAGCTACTGACCCTGAATCGCTTCCCGCGCCGAGCACTTTATCGTAAACATGCTCGGCCACTTTGCGTACTTGTATAAAATCGTTGGCTATCAAACGATCCCTTGAATAGAAAAGCACAAGATTATATAATCAATCGTGTCGACGCGCGATTTAGGAAATCTAAAAAACGATGCATACTTTTTTAAACTTTTTACACCTGAAGAGGCGTGTGGAAGAAGGTAGAAAGGTATCTTGATGAACTGCGGAAGATTCTTGTCCACGACGATATTCACCACCCATGGCGGCACGGTCTCGTTCAACAGGACACCCTCAGTTTCTCCCGCGGCGTCTCGCACCAACAGTCGGTAGATGGTTCTGCCTCCCACTTCGCTGAAAAGCAAAGATTAATATCATCAATCAACACACATATCACAGTCGACAAAATGTCACTTCCTGTACAATATAATTTTTGCATACCTGAAGATGACGGGTGTATGAGTGGGAACCGAGAAGTAAGGATTTCCTCCTCTCGTGTGTTGCAAAGGACCGTTTCCATCGTTGCCATTGCCCTCGTTCTCATCGTCAGCGTGCAACGGTCTCCACCAATGCTCGAGTAACGCTTGCAGCAGGAGGTTTCCGTAATTCACTAAGAATAAGAAGGGACATTAAATTTCCGAATCTCGATGCCACGAATATTGTGAAAACAACCAATCACCTTTCTGATCTACAGCGTCGTTCTCCGCTAGACCAGTCTCCTTGGCGGAAACCCATGCGGAGAAGCAATCATTCTCGTCTTGTCCTAAATGTATAGTTAACATCTGCAACGATCAAGAAAATTTAGAACAAATTTGACCTTTGAAAAGATCGATTCGTTAGAGCAAGGAAAAGCATACCCCTGTTTTGAGATCGACGTTAAACCAGTTTGGAACATACACCATTTTGTTTCTCTTTTTACATTCCTGCTCGAAATCGACTCTACCTAAATCTTCTATTTTACACGCCTTTAACACATCATACAGTGCAACATTCTCTTCCGTATCCTTTGTCAAAACGTGTCTTTTGTCATTTAATATGTGATAATGCCTTATGGCGGGACCGCCTAGTATTTTCTGCGCAGGTTCGGTGTTCCTTAAAATATTGCCTGGTACATTACTGGCGGAATCGCAATAATCCCCAATTCCCAGCTCTTGCCAATCTTTCTGGCTTATTGGCTGAAATATACAACAAACAAAATATTCTTCATAATTTACGTTTTCCTTTTCACGGAAGTTTGTTCGCACCTTACGAGACTTTACTTACCCAATTATTAATGGTTGATTCGCTGGTGGCGACCCAAATACTAGATTGATCCGGCGTCATGGCCATCTTGAGTATAGGTGCTTTTTCTTCGCAAATAACCGTGTATCTCTCTGCGTAGCTTAATTCTGTCATTACTACCCTCTTATCCCTACCTCCAGATATTACGTGGCTAAAGTTATCCGTTGCCTAAAACACAACCAGATTTTAATGCAATATTTAGTATAGCAATTATTAAAAAAACGGACTTGCGTATGTAATTGTAATTACCAATAACGCCCATACTCCTTCTTTGTGAACTCTAAATGTTTGCACACATCTCTGCTGGCCGAGCGACCACAGTTTAATAGTGCCGTCGGAACTCGCTGATAAGCACTGCGTCCCGTCCCTGTTCAGGACGAGCGCTTTAATATTGTCCGTGTGACCACGAAGCTTCATGAGTTTGGTGCAAAATCGTGGGTCCCACACTCGAAGGACTTTCTCCGTGCTACCGCTCACGATAATTGTGCCGATCTGATTCATGGCAAGGCTGTATATAGAATCTCTGTTTCCACTCAGGGACGACGCTGCAACGAGATATATTTTAAGCATGTTAAAACGTATAAAAAAACTACATGCAACGGTCAAGACTCCACGAATTTACATACTTGTGACTGTATTGTTACTCGCGGTAAGGGCAGTCAGCGTGTTAACATCCCACAGAAATATCGACTTGTCCAGACCCGCGCTAGCAACTTGCTCTCTATCTTTGGCATACGCTAATGCTTTGACATAGTCCTTGTGCGTGCGCAGGGTGGACATACAGAAACCTTTATGCGCATTCCATACCTTGACAGTGGTATCGGAACTTGCGGATATAACTGCAGAGAGTTGACAATATTGAAATTAACGTAGTAGAAATCGAATCAAAGAATATAATATTACGTTATATATAATATAAATGATACATTCACTCAGTAGAATATTATAAAACATTTATTGGATACAAATAAGAATATTGTATAAATGTGCACTTACGATTTTTGCCACTACAACATAGTACTATATCGTTAACCCAATCCGTATGATGTTCCATAGATTGGATATACGGCTCCTTCATGTTCCTGCAATTCCATATCCTTATAATGCTGTCTCTGCCAGCGGAATATAGCCTGTGCAGAGCCGGATCGTACTGCAAGGAATTAACACCGGCCCTGTGCTGCTTCTCCACTTCATCTCTTATAACCATGGACACCTTTGTGAGAAAAATAATTCAAAATTAATGTAGCTCCTCTCGTTACGACAATTTGTCAAAAACCAATATTAATTATTGTATGTTCAATGTTTGTCAATGTTCAATGAATGCAATTAAATGTTGCTGTAAATGTTGTTTACAATTTTAGTGCTACATTGAATTTGGTATCCCAAGAGAAACGCTCAACGCAGTCATTATTAATTTTAATGCCAGAGAATCTAGAAAATTCTAGCATTTGCTAGCGTGATTCTTGGCACGAAAAACAAGCCATTACAATTTATTACAATGTGTTATTGTAACTATGAGACATCAGCCGAAGGAGTCTGTCGGTGGATCATACCTGTACTTTCTTACGGGTGCTCTGCCCGCCCGCCTTGTGAGCTGCCATCGCACCTTCGGGATCGCTTCGCCTGGCGTCTCAACGTCGACGTCCCGATGTGACGTGCGGAGGGGATCGGGCGGAGAAAAACGCGGAGTACGGACGCGCGTGAAGACGGCACGCACAGCGCACGGTTGCACTTTCAAGCTGCGACAGCGGTACCACGTAGCGCACAATCGTTCCTCTGCACTCGCGGCGTTATCGGCATCCTCGTCGTCGTCGTCGTCCGCGTCGCCGAGTTTCACTGCCGCGGAATGTCGCGTGGCATCATCATCGTCGTCGTCGTCGCGTTCGTCCTCGTCGTTGTCATCGTACTCATCGCATTATCGTCGACGGCACAGCGTGCGGGACAGATGACAGTAGCGGTGCATCACCCGCGAGAACAAGCGGTCGCCGATTTTTCCCTCAGACGACACTCCACGACCGCGCGACCCCGTTCATGACGCCCGTGCACACGCACCACGCTCGTATAGCGATCGCCCGCTGCTCTGCTGCCAGTGGTGCTGCTGCTACTCCCGTGCCGCCGGCGTCGATATGCCTCGGCATAGTATGTATGTACGCACACCGCGCACGTAGCGTTACATCACGGAGTTCCGAGGGGATCGTACCATCCGAAGCTCCATTCGTCGGTCGGTCGTGTCTCGCGCAGCGGATAAAATTTCGGACAAGTCGAGCGAATCGGCCAATCGCAGCCGAGGATAGTCTCTTCCTTCGAGAACGCGGAGGAGGTATTCTACATGAGAACACACCGGAAGGAATGTTCCATTAAAAATGTTCTTTTAAAGTTTTTAAACCAAACCACCGACGAGATATTATTAAACACCCTTAAGGGTGTTAGCGTGGCTGGTTTAGTAATTGCTAAAATTTAAGCAATTAGTCAATAATATAATATTAATTTAATGATTTATTATTAGATCAATGTTTTTAGATATATGTACTTCATTTGTAATTCATTTGTTTTATAACTTGCTAATAGTTATAATTTTATTTAAAACTGCATTTTTATCGTTATCATACGTGTTTGATTATCCAGAGAGATGGTAAAACAGTTGGAAAAAAATGTAATTTGCGGCAATATATTTGATATTATAGCATTATAAGAATGTATTATTCAAATAAATCGCAAATTTATGTCAAATGTCGATAACATCGACACTCTGCAATTACCTCCGGGCCCGCCGGGCTGGTACGAAAATTTGTCCAGATCTTTAACAGTATCTTGTCGGTGCTGCGATTTCGATTACAAATTCCGATTACTTTAAAAAATTAATAATTTTATCTATGTTAACAAAATAAAATAGTACAGGTTTACTAAATAAGTTAATTAAGACTATAATTTTGCTTAATTTAATTGAGATTCAAATTCGAAAAAATTTTAGTATTTCTGCGCATTTTCAGAATGGACTATATTTCGAATAGTTTTGCATCGGCTGATTCAATTATAGTTTTACGTGGACCGATGCTTTTGTAAATTTAGTCATATATTAATTTGCACGTCGACATTCCGAAGACTTCGATTTTACAACAACGATACACGCCTATAGCTTCCTCTCGTTCCTCGCCTGGCGGAGCGAGAATTTTTCTATCGGATATCGGAGGACGCGCGGAGCGATTGACCCGTTCGGCCGCGCCATCTGCTCGCGCTCGCCAATCGGCGCGTCCGTTGCTAACGCGCCCGGTGAGCGATACGCGGTTAACATCCGGCCGCGATACGTCGGGAATGGAGGCCTGTTAGCGCGCTCCGTAGGTCGGTGGAGTCTCGCCATTTTCTCGGTGTGTAAATCCGCCGTCCCTACGCCTATCCAGTTGTCGCAAGACTCGCAAGTTGTCGTTGGGCGTTGACTATCGTGACGAGGATCCACGGCGTCTGGTGTGTGGTATTGCTGTGTGTTACGACCGCGAGTGCGACGCCCGACGTGGCGTCACCACGCCAGGCTATGAATCAGTCGCGGAATTTCACGTCGCTGCTGAACCCTAGCTACTTGCAGAATGCTCAGCAGCAGCAGCAGCAGCAGCAACAACAACAACAACAACAACAGCAACAGCAGAACGCCGCGAGCGCAAACCCGGTGGTGGCAGCGGCCGCCGCGGCTGCCGCCGCCGCCGCGGTGAGTGCCGCGATCGCGAACGGTACTCAAGCCAGCATGAATATGGCAAGCCCTGTAACGCAGAATCGCAAACGGGAATCGGAGGGTAAGCGTCTCCACGTCTCCTTCCTTCTCTTTCTCTTTCTCCCGCGGGAACCGGAAAATGTTTTCCTATCATATACAGTTACGAAGGATCTTTAATTTGTCCTGCAAGGAATGTTATCTGTTTCGATGCTAGCAAAAGGAGAATGTTTTGGGAATAGTATTGATATGTTAGAATGTTTTCCTGCGAATGAATGAAATATTTCTATGTTTTAATGGCACGTTTGGATTTGTGGTTTGTGATTTAACGACTGGGACTCTACAGATGATAAACAGGAGAAAGAATCAAAAGAGGGAGAACGCAGGAAGAGGAAAAAGACTAGATGGAGTGGTAGCGAACATGACAAAACGTTTATACCCGGAATGCCCACAGTACTGCCGACAAATCTGACTCCCGATCAGGAAAAGGCTTATCTCTGTAAGTTTTCCTCTCTCGTACAGCAATTACAATGTATCTCCTTTAGTACACTAGTACGTATGGCTAGGGAACCATTTCAAATACTTTGCTTTTGTATATAAGTTCTTTCTGAAACCTAATTTAGAAGAGTAGATGGCTATGAGTGATGTAAGTATAATAGTATACGTATAAAGAAAAATTCTAAATTCTTTTGGAGGTAAGCATCAGGACTTCTTGAAAAACTGTATAAAATCATCAAATTTTGGCAAGAGGGATTGCCAATTTTGCTGAATAACTATAATCTGACCATTGATCCTTTTTCCACGTGAAATTTCATTAAATGACCTATATAATAAATTATGTCATTTAGATACACAGTAATATAGCAGAGGTTCACTTGTATATTTTACAATTTTTTCAAATAACTAAGTATATTGAATAAGTCATAAAAAGCGTTGCAAGCTTTTGACTTTGGAAACAATGAAATATATGTGCAATATACTTTATTACATTTTTGAGACATGCTTATTTTATAGAATGTATACGGCAAATTGGCAATATCTAACTGTTGGGGTTTCCGCCCCCTCTAACCCGTTGGTTTACAGTTCAGCTGCAGATTGAGGAAATCAGCAGGAAGCTACGCACTGGAGACCTTGGAATTCCACTCAATCCTGAGGAAAGGTTTGAAAGAAAACTTACATACCAAAAATGAACATTACATATCTACAATACCTATCTACTGAACATACAGCAGCCCGTAATACAGGAGCCCTTAAAAAAAAGATATCTCTGTGGCTCAGGTTCAATTAGTGTGGGAATACCGATTTGAAAACGTTGGGCTTGAATAGAGCCCTCATGCAACACAGAAGATGAATTTTGATAGTATTGGTTTGCCCTAATCAATCTTTTTTAGTATCTCATTTTTATTAAACACTGCTACGACTGTTAAAGTCACGAATCTTTAAAGTTACTTTCAAAGTTAAGAATTAAGTGTGTAGTAAAGCAGTAGCTCTCGATAGTTTTGACATATATTGAATTATACCAGTAGCAGTGTTTAAAGAGAACAGTGGGTATTCTAGTTCATATGTCTTATATAGATACATTTTTGCACACATAGAATAACTCTGAGGTGACCTATCGTAATTTTTTTTTAATCTGAAAAATTATATGCAATATTAGCAATCAGACATTTCAATGATGTTTTACTATGAATCTTTATGCATGGGTCATCTTGAGTGAGATTCTGCCCCTTTATATTCAGGCTGCCGTGATTTGCACGGCACACTTTAAAATTGTTATAATAATCTTGATGCCAATAGGAAGATCGTTAATCGACTTGCCAATATCTGTTGCCTAATTACAATCTTAATGAGCAGATTTCAGGAAAATATCAGTTTATTCGCATTCTGAAATTCTTATTCGTACCGTAATAATTGTAACAAAGAATTTAACGTTACTTTCAGGTACAGGTCTTAAATAATAAATGCATATACTTTTTCTAATAAATTAATTTATTCCAATAGGTTTAACTTTTTCCAATTTTAGCTGGAACCATTATTTTTATGTCATTGTGTTTCCGTTTAATACCATAGTAAGACATGCCAATTGCATTAATAACTAATCTAAAAGATTATTTCTTAATAATCACAGGATCTCTGTCTTAGCAGCTGACATCATACCGATATCTGCCGTGCACAAACGCGCAGTCTTCCAGTGGTTGCCTACTATAGAATACTAAATATATAGCTATATTCGGCAGCGACAATTTTTCTATTCTTTATTTCGATACCTTGGCACTGTTGGGAAATTTTAATAATACACAATCCTTTTATAGTTTCTTTCTCTAAAAGTACACAACTGATTACATAAGCAAACTGATACAATCATTCAATGACTTCCTTAGAGCACGTCTACAGTTGGATATATTTTATTATAATATTTTTTCATATACTGTTATTGAAGCAAAATTATTGAGTATACATATATTATTTAAAATTTTTTTTTGTTTATGATTATATAGTTTTTCTAATATTGGAGACAAAATTTTCAATACAAAATGTTTCTTTTAGATAAATTTAGAGTATATACTTTTTAATTTATTATTATTAAATTTATAATTTTTAATTTGTAATTTTATTATTATTACATTTTATTAAGAAATTACATTTGTCAGATAATATCACGTTTACAGAGAAATCAGTAAAATCAAAAGAAAGATTGCATAACAATGGCTTATTTGTCAGATTTTTTATCAAGATCAATATACGCGTAACTCTGTTCTAAAAATCAACGGTTCTTCCCCACTTATATATATATATATATATATCATACAGTCATAGTAGGGTCAGGTTGCTTATACGCTAGTACCATCTTGATTAAAATTTATATTTTGATATGGTATTATTTTTTTATTTTTCAGATCCCCATCTCCAGAGCCTATTTACAGTAGCGATGGTAAACGGTTGAACACGAGAGAATATCGTACAAGACGTAAATTAGAGGAAGAACGTCATAATCTGATCCAGAAGATTCTTAAAATCAATCCAGAATTCAAACCACCACCAGATTATAAGTGAGTCACATATATTTTTTATGCAAATAACATTTTTATGTTATATGTTAGGACTTATTCATTTATATTTAAATATTTACTTTTCTTTTTTTAGGCCACCAATAATACGAGTTCATGATAAAGTAATGATTCCTCAGGAAGAGCATCCTGATATAAATTTTGTTGGTTTACTTATTGGACCGCGTGGAAATACTCTAAAATGTGAGCACTACGAAATGCGTTTCGCAAAATTATCGATAAAGTTTCATAACGTGTGCAATTAGAAATGTTAATTTATATTTATCGTTTTGAAATCTTTAGCTATGGAAAAGGAAACTGGCGCAAAGATTATAATTCGTGGAAAGGGCTCTGTGAAAGAAGGAAAAGTTGGCAGGAAAGATGGACAGCCTTTACCGGGTGAGGATGAACCTTTGCACGCATACATTACCGCGAACAATCTAGATGCTGTGAAGAAAGCTGTGGAGCGAGTACGTATTGCTTTTTTTTACAATATTCTATTCTATCTATAATAATTAGAAACTGTATAAGTATAAAAAATACTTATAATATCGAATAAAAAGCATTGTTGAATATTGAAATATATGATAGTGAGGTAAAAATAAAATAATTATCAAGCGAATAATTACATTCTAATTAAATGTGTTTACATATGCAGATTCACGAGATCATTCGACAAGGTGTAGAAGTGCCAGAGGGTCAAAACGACTTGCGTCGCAATCAATTACGTGAGTTAGCTTTACTCAATGGAACATTACGCGAGAACGATGGACCTCGTTGTACCAATTGTGGAGCTTCGGATCATAAATCTTGGCTGGTTTGTGAAAATCGCGTAATATTTTTATTGAAATGATCTCTCTTATTTCTGTAACTAATAATGTAATCTTCGATGGAATTTTAGTGTCCCGATAAACCAAATGTGACAAACAACATAGTTTGTTCAAGTTGTGGTGGCGCAGGACATATTGCTCGTGATTGTAGATCAAAGAGACCCGGTCAGGGAGGTCCAGCAGCCGCTGGAATGGGGGGAATGGGTCAAGCTGGAGATAAGGCTAAAATAGATGAGGAATATATGTCGCTCATGGCGGAATTGGGAGAGGGTCCACCACCGGACAGATCGAAAACAGGACAAAACAGGCAAAATCCCAATCCCAATTATCCCGGACTTTTTGACAGGTACAATCTCTTTTTTTCTTTTTTAATTTTTTTTCCATTACAACAATCTTTTTCACATATAAGTTAAATACGATCCCTTATCGTTTTCAGGCAACAACCACCTCGCGCGTTAATGGCGGCCCCGGCACATCCGCCACCGCAGATGATGCAGGGCGGTCCGATGATGCCGCCACCAGGAATGGCGCCGCCGCCGTGGAGCCAAGGAGGCGAGGGGATGAACAACATGAACATGCAATGGCAGCCGCCGGTGAGCATGCCGCCGCCACCGGGCGTGATGCAGCCACCGCCACCGCCGCCCGGCTCCACTACGCAGCCCAACATTCCGCCGTTGATGCCGTGGATGGCCGGCAACAATCAACCGCCGCCACCAGGTCAGATGCCGCCCACGCAGATTCCACCGCCCGGGATGGGTATACCGCCGTGGCAGCAAGGTCAACAGGGACCGATGCGGCCGCCACCACCGGGCACGGCGCCGCCTCCGGGTTTCCCCGGTGGCTGGCAACCGCAACAGATGGGCGGCTGGCCACCGGCCGCCCCGGTCCCGCCTCCGCCTCAGCAACAAACTCCTGCGCCACCCGGGATTGACCTGAACACGCTGCCGACGTTACTGGCGCAACCGCCGCCGCCACCTCCGCCCACCAGTTAGTCCTAATCACGTAACGAATGACTTCCGATCTAATATATAATAGCGAGACGATATCATTGAGATATAGAAAAGTTTAAAAAAGAAAATGGAAGATAGGGTATAATCTGAGAAAGAGGCATTATGTCCCAATAGGAAGTCACAGAAAAAGATGAAGATAGACAAGAAATTAGGAGCGATGCAATTATGTCGCGACATTGTTTCAGTGATCAGTTTTTTTTTTTATGTATAATCTTGCGTCATTGTGAATTTTTTGGTGTGATCATTATGAGAATTCTGCGAATAGCGTATGTGGAAAATGTATGCCGAAGAAACTCGTAAATCGTATTCTCTAATAGAGCATTTAGTTTTACCTAGTTACCAGTTTTAATTTACTGCGAGTAATGAATTCTGACATTTTCTATAAGAAATCATGTGAATGGCGTGTCATAAATGACTTAAATGGCGCACGAATTTTCCTGTAAAAGCACAACTACATCTGTTTTACTTTTTTTTTTTTTTTTTTACTTCATTCCATTTCCAAACGTCGCTTCCGAAATCGAATCTATCAATGTTAAAGAATTGTAACATAGGTGAAAACATTTGTTCATATATTTTATTTATATATATAATACTCTAAAAAATACTATATATATATATATAAACATTTCATAATTCTTAGTAATCGGTAATATTGTTTTTAATGGCTGATGAAATTGCAGAAGTGTTAAAAAAAAAATTCTGCGACAGTCCTGTAATACTTCAGGACACGCACATGCAACTTATTTGCAAATTGGATGTAAAAAAAACTTCTATTTTAAATCTTTCAAACACCGGAAGATTATGTTCCTGACACTTTTAAGTTAGTAATAAAAAAAAATTCAGTATCATACAAAAACGTCAATTGAATCACGCGCTAATAGACGAGTATTTAGAGGGCGATGCAGGACAATACGAACCCATTTGCGAATCCTTAGGTTTAATTCACCGAATCGTCGCTTCTGTAGCAACGTGTATGTAATCAAGTGGAAATCTGGATTGTATATTTATTAAGACAGTCGTAATTACGCGACTTAAAATTATAACACGAATAAATTTGTGTACTTTAGCAGCGAAAGAAGATTTGCTGCTAAGGTATTCATTTCAGTAGAAAATCAGAAACGGAAAAACCGCGATCCTTAATTTAATGGTATTTTGTGTTTTTCACCAAGCTGACAAATCGTATATATTTCACATCCGTTATCATCCGTCACGGCGGAAGTAACATTCGAAATTACGAGAACGTCCAAGCGCAATAATTTCTTACTGTACGTTGTCCGCGCGTTAGAAAAGAGATTAAGGCAAATTTCGAGCCATGTACGTTTACTTTGTACTGCGTTAGTATTGCATATGTTGAATGTATAATGAATTAAATTATGGATAGAGATATGCTAGGTTGCTTACTATGTATTCTAATTACAATAATAAACACCTATTAAACGGAGCATACTTGTTCGTACATTTGACGGGTTTTGAGACGGCAGTTCTCGTAATGGGAGTGTTCTGTTGATAGGAATGCTATTCTATACAAAGACTTTCATATAACAATATGTATTATATTACATTATTATCTACAAGTTGTGTCACATTGATATGACACAGATATATATATATATATATTTTTTTACAGGCATTCAATGACTATCAATCTTCTTCTTTTCCTCGGGATACGTTTCATAATACCACTTCTCGTATTCGTCCTTCATTTGTTCACGGCGCGCAAAGTATTTGGGATACATAGCCTTCTCCAGGGGATGCCAATAATCCAACATCCAGTCCGGGGTTTCGACCTCTCGACCGTACGCTCCTCCCCTAGCTGAATTGGCGAACGTTATCGGTGCGTAATGTATCTTGGAGAAAAGTTCCTTCTCCCCTTCTTGCAGCAGATGCTTCGCATAACGGAGATCAGTTAGGTTTTTATTCTTGTCGAAACGCTCTCTCATTAGCGCAGCCTGGTATCTATAAAGGAATAATAACTGAAATGTAATTAACTGTCACTGTAAACTTCACTGTATTTGTTGGGCAGATGGAAAATATGATTTGTGCTATCTCTGTCCTCCAAGTGAATCTGTTATTAGTTAAGTTTCGTTTGAATTTATCGATTAAATCCGCCTGTGTGATTTTGATTGAATTCTGATTCATTTAACTTAACAAGCGACATTTGAAATATTTCGTTAACGTGGATAGAATTATTAATTTATTTGACACATGGGAAAAAATTTGAATAAGAGCAATGCACTATAATATAGCTAGAAATTTTGCTTTAATGTGTTGATTTCCGCCGGTTAAATTAATCGTTGATTAATCGTCAATCGGGATAGGGTGGCTGCCACCCTCGATGATGGTATGTACGTACCTGCGGTCGTGCGTTTGATGATACCAGTCCTCCATACAACGCACCGCGCGTTTGTACAGTCTGCACACTTTCTGCTGATGCGATATGAGCTCCGAGGGAATATGCGCCATCGCTCACGTTTAAAACAAATTACAATTCTTCGTTAAAGAACACCCCTCGTAACAAACTAACGAACGTAAATACAAAAACCACGAGTTAACCAAGATGTGAGATTAAAGGTCTTCGAGAGGTCGGCCCTCGGAGTAGAACAGTCGACATCTCGCGACGACGATCGGAATTAAGAATCGCGCTCCGCTATTTTTTTGCGAGATCTTGTAGAATGTTCGAAAACTCAAAATTAACAAAAACATCTCACAAAAGAATTTTACAAAAAAAGATAAATGTTACGCCAAGTAATATGTGTTTTTTCGATTTATCGACACAAGTTGATGCAAGTGTCATTCTATCTTTGTTGTCACTGGCTGTTGAAAAAAAGACAGAATGATGTTGACTAATTGTATCGCTAAATAAAAAATATTCCATATGCAACATATGGGCACGACGCTATTTTTCGCTATTTTCTCATCATTCGCACGCGATTTGATAAATTATTGGAATTACTTCACACAAGTCTTGCATTTCGATTGGCAAGAGCCAATTAAAAATTTTCTCTCGCTGCATCTCGATTGTTCCAGAAAAGCGGCGCTGATTGGCTTGTCATCAGTTTGATGCACTGTCGGGGGACGGATGGTTGCCGGAAATGCAAGCTCGCGCGACGGAAGTGCGCCACTGCACCGAGCGAACTTGATCGCGGCGTCGCGTCGTTTTGGCGACCGGTCTCTCATCAGGATCAGACCATCAAACCTCCTCGGCGATCATTGACTGGTGGATTCTCCTTATTGCCGGGCGATTTTCGCTGATTTGCGAGGTATCACGTTCCCCCGGTCGCGCGTGATTTTCACGTTTCGTCCCTATCGAGCGACGTTACGACCGCGTGCGCAAACGGCAGGGCCGTGTAATGACGCACGCACATCGTAACGCGGCGAAACGTTTCGACGAATTTTCACGCGGGATATCGCAACAACAACATCGTCGTCGTCGTCGCCGCCGCTGCCGCCGCCGCGATTGTCGGAGCGCGCGATTGCAAGCCCGGCCGGCGGGCAGGAATGCGAAAGCGATCACGAGACGAAGATCGGAGTGTTGTAATAAAATATATCTCTTTTTGCAGGTTGGACGCGCGATTTAACTGCGAGATGACCGTGCCACCGGACTCCTATCAAATTTCGCTGAATATCATAGAGGCGATCAAGCAGCATCCGGTGCTCTATTGCACCGAGGTGATAGGCCTGACGGTGAAGCTGCAGGAGTTCAAACAGAAAGTCTGGAAACGCATCTCGGACGAGCTCGGATTGGACCGTATGTCTCTCTGTTATTTTTTTTGTTTCCTCTTGTTTACGCATTGTTTACGTTGCCAATGTTGCTGGACGTTGTCTGTTGCAGCTACATGGGTTAGACTGAAATGGAAGAATCTCAGGGATACTTACTGTCGCATCTTAAAGTGCAAGAACAAGACGGAGGAGGGCGCGAGAAGAAAAAAGTGGATCTTCGAGGATTACCTGAACTTTATAAAATACCCGTAAGAAGTGTTCATGACTGTCTGTCTAGTGATTTTGGCGCTTCACTTTAAGTTTTGCCTTGCTCAGGGGTTTCACTTTCTCGCAGATACGAGCCGGACTATCAACCACAGTGCGTAGAACTGACCGAGGAGTACATACAGGAGATAAACTCGGGTGAGGTAAACTCTGAGGGTCTGCTGGAACAGTTGGAGGATCGAAATGAAGACTACAGCGAGTATCTCGAGATTCTCGAAGAGACATCGACCGATCCAGTTGTAATGATACCAGAGACGATAGAAACGTTGGACAACAGTGGCGTACAATTGGTCACTCAGGAAGAATTTTTGAGTGAACAAGACTCTACGCAACAGGATATTGAGAGCTGCGTCCAACAAATACAGTCAAAATATCGAAAGATACGTCCGAAACGGGTGAAGACCGACGAGTTCGCCACGGAATCATCTAGCCCCAAGAAGATAAAAAAGTCTTCCTTTAATAATGGAAGTGCATCTGATAAAGCGTGTAGTCCCGTTTTCAAGCCGAGTTCATTAAGCGGCACTTCGACACCGGTGAAAAAACAGAACAGTACGAAGAAGAATGACGCGACTTTCGAGCAAGCTTACTTGGCACCCGAGAGTAAGAGTATAGAATTATTTTTCGACAGTATGGCGCAGACGGTGAAGAAATTGCCGCCTAAGGCACAGGCGGATATCAAGATGCGCATCTGCAAGCTAGTGACGGAGGCGGAGGTGCAATATTCTATACAGAACTTGCCACAGAGCTCGCAACAATTTATAGCGCCACCCGGCATGATACCCAAGTTAGTATTGATACCTTGTGATATGATAGATAATCAAAATCAGGATTGATCCGTTTGTATTAATTGCGCGCCGAAAAATATATTACAGATTTAGTACAAACCAATCATTTTATATTAACAATTTAAACTGTTACGAATTTGCTAATATTATGCATGATATTAGCCAATTTCTAAATTTTATGTATGTATGAGGAATTATTAGAAATTTGTGTTAATATCACAATACATATTACACACACACACACACACATACACGCACACACACGCGCGCGCGCGCGCGCGCCCGTATTATGATGTTAACACAAATTTTTAATAATTGTATAATGTATAAATATAAATTACAAATCGAATATGAACTACATAAAACGATTTGTTTGACTGTGGACAATAAAACGCTAATATTATTTCAAATCATTTAAAATTATTTATTAAAATAATTTATTTCCCTTAGCAGAAACTAATTTATGCAAAAAATGCGAATGATTCATGAAAAACATATAAGATACATAAAACTGTATATGGATCGTTGAATATTGAAAAATATCTGGCGATTTATGTTTCTGAATGACATTAAAAAATTTCTTGTATTATATGATTTTATAATAAAATGTGAATATATTCTATTTCATTGGAAAGAATCATATTCTTCAAACTATTTATTTATAGCATCTAGTTATTAATTATTCCGTTAGGAAAAGAAACAAAAAATAATCTGTTACAAAAATTGGGCAATTTTTTGTATTCAAACACTTATTAGTTATTCCATTAGTATTTCCAGGATTTTTCTGTCCATTTCTCTTCCCCGGGCTGCCAGAACTATTCACTTTTCAATAATTTGGAGTAGGCAGTCTAACGCTCGCGAAAAAGTGTTAAAACTCGTCACACAAATGCGTTATCTAGAAAGATAACGTACAGATTGCTGAATAATATAACTATGACGTACTGACAAAGCTTATCGTTGTCTTCGTTAATAGAGACGCTTTATCGTGTAGAGTAATAAGAAAAATTACATATATCAGATGATTACAAAAAAAAATATTTGCTTTTTACCAACTACAGATTAAAAACAGACGATTGTAAACATGACATAGCACATATACAAAACATACGCAAGATCGTGTCACACTCTGCGTCAGTATCAACGATCAAAATCATAAAAATAATTCGTTATTGAATATAGTTGCAATATATATAAAGGCCCGGTGTAGGGAAAACACAGACCATTTGAGCTAAACAATTTAACGTTTTCCGTAACGATAAATCGGAGTGGAGGGAAGAAAGGAATCTGCTCTAATTACCCGCGAGAGATACTACAACTGCTATTGTGAGGAGCTATATAAATATATAAATCAGGTAATTATAAATCAATTTAGCATGAAAATTTTCCTCTTCTGTAGAATTTTCGTGACGCAACATAATTTCTCGGGAGATAAACGATAGAGGAAAAAAGTGTTTCTCTCTTATCACTTGGAGCACGTGCTCGAATATACACATGCGCGTGTCGATCACGGCCGATGGCCGTCACGGCGCGCCGTTTTCGTTTTTAATCGGCGAGCGAGAGGAGTACGGAGGTACTGCAATTTCTTTCTCTCCTTCCACAGCCGGCTGCAGTTTCGTCGCCGACAGAAGGGATATCGAACGTGAATCGGCGATTCCGTTCGCGTTGATAAAAAGCCGATAATTCTATTTGTTCTCGCGCCTCGATAACACCTCGATAAATAGTCGTGGATGTTTCCCGGAGGAGCGACGAGCTGACGAGCGGTCCGCTCGACAGGATCAGCCGACGAGACCCCCGGGCCAACGAGGATGCTGCGGCACTTGGCACGCGTGCAGCGGCACGCAGACCTGCTGAAACAGCGCCCGGCGGCGGTTCAGTTCGCGAACTCCTCCTGGAGGGAGGTGAGTTGTACGCGCGTCGACTGGGACCGAGTGGAGGTTAGGGACCTGACGGACGACACTTTCGATCGTGATGAAGTCTGAATCGAATTCGAGTACAACAGATGATCCTCGGCGATTTCGGACTTTCGCTTCCTCTCGAAGCCGCGCGAGATCTCTCGATACCCAATTTAAGTTAATGGCACGTAATCGCGAATCTGTCTCTTTTGGATGGATATCAATTGGTTTGTTTACAAGTTTAATTTGACGTTCGTCGCAGACCTCGGCGAGGACGCTTTCGGTGCGAGAAACGAAAAGTTGTGGGAAACGATGAGAATCATCGCCCATCGGCATCGCGAAAGGAGCGTTGAAAGAGTTGAAAGTGAAGAGTTATTGAGGTTAGGAAATTTGCCTTATCGATGGAGCGCGATCGACGACACGTGACGGAATGGCGCGCGAAATTTTGTAACGTAATTGCAAGAATAATTCAGATGCAATGAAGTAATTAAATGACTGTAAGTATTTTATGAACGATAAAACGCGACGAATCTCTGTTTCAAGTGCTAAGTGAAAATCGGAAGTGAAAATTTTATTAAATGAATTTAACTCCTACGTGTCGAGCATAAATATACGTATAAAATATTTCAAAAAGATAGATTTTGTGTTAAAGATTTAAAATTTTTGTCAAATTTTGTGTGGACAGAAATGAATATTTTCGCTAAAGGCTGAGATGAGCGAATTGAACTGGATGATTGACATAGAATATTAAATTTACAGAGTTCAGAGATCAAAGGCGATGACGAGAGGAAGAATTACAGAGAATTCATTGACACTTCCAACCCGAGGCAAAAAATAATGAAAGGTTTAAAGCATGACTGGAAAGTGCTGAAACGTGTGTTGTCGCCCAAGAGAGAGTACTCCGACTTTGAGGCGCTGTTGAAGGGAAGAGAGATAATTCCTGCTCACTGTGACGTGCTTATCATTGGCGGCGGTGCGATTGGTAGCTCGATAGCATATTGGCTGAAGCAGAAAGTTTATAGAGATGAATTCAATGTCGTTGTGGTTGAGAAAGATCCTACGGTGAGACATTGATTCGCACAATATCGTATTTTCTAATTCTCAAGCTTTCTTTTTTGAATTAATAATTTATGCATTCGATATAACTTATTTAAATTAATTGAATGTATATAACAATTAAATATTATTTCAGTACGCCAAGGCTTCCACGACTCTTTCGGTGGGTGGCCTGCGTCAGCAGTTCTCTCTCGAAGAGAATATCTACATGTCGCTGTTCGGCGCGGAATTCCTGCGGAATATCAACGAGCACTTGAGTGTCCCCGGGGAGCCGCCCATCGACGTGTGTTTTCACCCTTACGGCTACTTGGTACTGGCGACCGAGGCGGGCGCTGAGACTTTGGTGCAGAACTCTAAGCTGCAGAATTCTCTGGGGGCGAAAAATGTCGTTCTCACTGCCGAGAAGCTGAAACGCACGTTTCCTTGGATAAACACCGACGGGATCGCGGCGGGTTGTCTCGGACTGGAAAAAGAAGGATGGTTCGATCCGTGGTCCCTTCTGTGTGCCTTGAAGAAAAAAGCTAGTCATTTGGGTGCTCAATACGTCAATGCCGAAGTCAAGGCTTTTCAGTACAAAAATGTTTCAGGAGGTTACGATTACAATATGAATCCTGTCAAAAAATTAAATAACGTAGTCGTAAGTATACAGATTTTGTGTGTATATAGGTACATGTAATACTTGTCAAGTTATATGTATATAAGATTTTAGGCACAGGCTGCGTGGAGTTGATTATTTTGGCTGTTCGATAAATATTGAGTATTTATCGCATATGCGGAGTGATCAACAGTCTACGCGACCTGCATCTAAGATTTTATATAACTTACCAGCTACAAGTAATGATAATAGAATAATATCTAATGTGGACATATATATTTTTTGTCAGATAAAAACAGAGGACGGTGAGATTAAGACAATAGAATTTGCCATAGCTATTATTGCCGCGGGCGCGTTTAGTGGCGAGATAGCCGAGTTGGCTGATATCGGAATAGGGGAGAGATTATTATCTGTAGCTTTACCAGTTGAACCCAGGTGATTTTCATTAACGATTAAAAAAAAAAACTCGAGAATTTCGTTACCTCTTGCTTCTCTGTCTCTATATTATTGAATAATCATTCAATATTCTCTCTTACAGAAAACGATACGTATATTGTTTCCATTGTCCCGACGGACCTGGTTTAAATACACCTTTAACGATTGACCCCACTGGCACATATTTTAGGTAAGTTTTTTTTTTAAGATATAACGTGTACTCTTATACTACGAATAAAATAGACTTAATAAAGGTGAACGCGGAATAAAATGAATGTAATACAATTTTTATATAAAATGTAAATGAAATAAATTTTTTTTTTTTCAGACGCGATGGTTTAGGAGGTAATTTTATCGGCGGAAAATCACCAGAATCAGACGAGGAGCCGTCAATTCAGAACTTGGATGTCGATCACGACTTTTTCGACAATAAAGTGTGGCCTTTACTTGCTCACAGAGTACCGGCATTTGAAAAGTTGAAGGTACGTATATTTTTCATTGTCGAGCAATAATATGCATAACAGGATTATATAGTAAGATATTCATGATGGTGTAGCAAGTACAAATATAGAAGTGTTAAATGCATTAACGTGCTAAAATAATATGTTACAGCTTTTTTCTCTTTGGATGTATATTCTGTCTTTATGTATTAGGTGAAATCTGCATGGGCTGGATATTACGAATACAACACGTTCGACGAAAACGGTGTTATTGGCCAGCATCCTTACCACAACAATTTATACATTGCGACTGGTTTTAGCGGACATGGTATTCAAAAGGCACCCGCGGTGGGACGCGCGGTATCGGAGCTGATTTTACATAAACGATTTTTGAGTATAGATTTGTCCAAACTGAGTTTCGATAGATTCTTAAAGTCAGAACCTATGAGAGAAGCTAACGTATTTTAGGTAGTAGAGAATCATTGTTTTTTTTTGTTTTTATATTTGATTGTACCATCTGTCATATAAATTTGTAAATACAATTACAAAACTTAAAGACATCTTATTAATGTAAAAAAAATGTCTAAATGTAATAAATAAATACAGTTCTTATAATGATATCTTTATAATGTAATTTGCAATGTCAATAATACAACAAATTTTAAAAACTGTACATACAAAACGATTCAATATGTGAACGATTTAAGAGTGCGCGACTCACTTCATACATAAAATTTGATCCATGTATATCACAGCATCTTCTATGCCTAAATCCTGCATTATGTTTCGCAAATCGCTGAGAGACGTACTGGTTTGTATCTGCAAAGAATTAAAGACACAAATTACACAGTTCAATCGTTTATCTCTATGAGAGAACGTACACGTTCAGAAGAATGCAAAATAACGTGCAAAATATTCGACGAAAAAAAATACGAATCTTACAGCGATATAATTCAAGAGGAGTAACGACGCACTGGATGAGTTCTTAAAGGTATTCATTAAGTACTTGAAGTTGAAATGCTGTGCCAATTCTTTCCATCCTTTTGTCTCGTCCAGAATGTTTGCTAATTGTTTTTCTTGTTCTGTGTCTAACCAAACTTTATGTGTATCCTCTATATTTTCTTCTTTTATTTGCGTGCTCTCGATTAACATATCACTTTGACCAGAGACGAGTTGTAAGATCTGCAACAACGCAATTTTTTTAAAATAAATGTATTCTTTGTAAGGATAAGACAATGTGAAATGTTTTTCGTACGTCTGGTTTGTTCGACGCCAGGTCAAACGATGATTGTCCGGTGCATTCTTCTATATTTTCATCTTCTGACTGCACTTCCAGTTTTACATCCTCTGTTTGTTGCTCCTCAGTCTACCATAAAAACGATCAAATTTTTAATAAAAACAAAATCATACCATATTGTAATGAAAAAAAAATTGGACACATACATTGGATGATTCACGATTATAATTTCTTATGTGTGGGTCAGCGCCGTATTTCAGTAGAAGGGCACATATGTCTTTGGCCTTCGTGCCTGGTGTAACTATTGCGATGTGCAGTGCCGTATTTCCGCTAAAGTTCCTCTTGTTTACGTCTATGTTGGTCTGCTTGGAGAATTAAAAACATTAGTAACGTGATTAGTAACGATATTTTATATAAAAAAATGTATTCTCAACAAATATTCTTACGTTTTTTAACAGGAATTCGACAATGTCTTTGTGGCTTCCTTCGACTGCTATATGCAAGGCAGTTCTTCCATAGGTCATGTCAGTGTTATTTACGTCTGCGCCAGCTCTAACGAGGGAGCGCACCGCGTAATGTGAACCCGCTTTGGCAGCTAATTGCAGAGGTGACCATCCTAAATCCGTATTTGCTTCGATATTGATGTCTTTTTCAGATAATAAAATATCAATGCTTCTGTTTGCTTCCGGAACTAAAATCAGAACTCTATGTAAGTTTAAACGTAAGATAAAATTATTATATATTATTCGCAAGTGCTTTTTATCACATCTACATTTGAATCGAAATATTTTGCTACGTGTTAATTCGTTACATTAAAAAAAATTGTTCAATCACTTTAAATACTTTTAAATTGTTACATACACTTTACAGCTTTATGTAGTGGCATTTGTCCATAATGATCTGTAATATTTGGATCTGCGCCAAGCATGAGTAATGCTTCTGTAATTTCCGGTTGATCTTGCGAAGCAGCATAATGCAAAGGAGTCTAGAATGTAATGCGATACATTGAAATTTTTGTAATTAAATAAATAAAATATATTAGCGTTGAGAAAGCATACCTTTCCGGAACTGTTTCGAATGTTCACCAACTCTTCAGCATTTGTATTTAGAGTGCTCATAAACATCAGAATACGCTTTACATTGTCTTTTTGTCCATGTCGAAGCGCACAGTGCAGTGGCGTATCTCCATAAGTTGTCCTGTCTTTGAACGATTTTTTAATAATATCTTTTGCTTCGTTTGGCTTTATTTTCATACTTTTTATCGTATCGATAATAACATCTTTCGCAAACAATTTATCGTCCTGTAGAAACAAAATTTAATTAACATATAATATTGATGCAATAAAGATTGCAACAATAAATTTGTAAATCAAATACATTGAAACTACTTGCTTTTTTATTCGGCGCACCATCATATGTTAACTTATCGTCGTCTTGGTCTAATAATTTTGCGTACTCTATAAGATTTAACATGATACGTTTTTACATTGTAACTTTTGAATAAACTTTTTTATCGCTATAAAAAGACACTTACCTTCCAAATCCATACAATCGACAAAAGAGCGAAATTCACTAGAGGAACATCTATCGTCTAACATTTTCTTTATTTCTTTAGATATGTCGGCACTGTCATTGCTTGAATGCATATTCGTTAATGGTATATTTGTTGAAGGCGTAGGATTACTAAACGTCATTTGCGCCAATTCCGTGCTATTTGAGTGAGAGACTCGCGTCCTCTTCCTGCCTGGAATTATAAAATTGCAAGGAGTTATAATGAGAAAAAAGTAGAAGTCAAATGAAAGAAAAGAAAAACAAGGAACATAGACGACTAAGAATATTTAACTTTACTATCAACTTACCTATCATGCGGTCGCTTGGCTTATATGTGAATTTGATTGGTTCTGAACAAGCTCCATCTGAAGGACGTTCCAGTTGTATGAAGACTTCCTTTGGGGAAGTAATATTTCGATCCTTGAACGGTGGAGCTCTAGAAATACGACACAGTCAATCACATGCGTTATGGAAGGAAGGAAAAAATATTTAAATGTAAATCACATGTAGTACGTACCGAAATACCATGGCATACTGATGATGGACGTCCAATTCCGAAAAACGACCATAATCAATCCAGATTTCAATGTCATCATCGTCAAGCTCAAAAAATTTTATCTTTATGTTTTCTATAATATAATGCGGTTTTTTATATCAATATGTACAATGTCTAGACAAAGCATATTCAGCTGAAATGATAAAATTAGCATGTGCTTACTTTTTGAAACTTTCTCCACAAATATGAATATCTCTTCGCCACCTTCGCAGCTGCTAGTATGTTTATCTATTCTGCATATTTTAAGTTCTCCAGTTAATGCGCTTTCTGTTAAAATATTAAGATTTCTTTACTCATTTTCATCATTCATATAAGTATATATATATATATATATAGAAACACACGCACATATATATATATATAGATAATGTTCTTTGTTAGCATCCGTGAGACAAAGAATCAGTTCAGTTAATCGTGAATACGAACCTAGTTCGGTTTATTTGCGTTCAATGCAATACGTAAAATATTTGATAATCGCTTATATAACACGCTTATATGCTATACAAATATACGTTTATATGACATAAATAAATTGAAAATTTTGATCTTTTTTCTCGAAAAAAAAATTTATTGCAATAAATTATTTAAACTTACTCAAATTATTGATTGGATTACTATAAACCGGTGCTGTAATCGGTCTCAAAATAGAATATTCATCTTTGATAAATCCTTGAAAACAAAGGGCAACACTATTTAGGTTCATAAATTTTTGGTAGTTATCCGCGTCAGCTTTAATCTGTAATTATTGTTATAAAATATTTTCTAAAGAATATATTCAATTGGTTCTTTTTTTTAAATAAAAATGTAAATTTGATCGATTTTCAGGCTGATAAACGGCATTAAGATTTACCTGTGCTTCATCACGAACACTGAGAGTAGCGTTTACATTGGAACGTTTGCGTTCCTCCAAAGTTTCATAGTGCAGTTTTTGTATTAATTCGTCCTTGACGTTTCTTCTTGCCGTATGTATTATACCCATAGAATTGAATCTGTAATAGAGGAATAATGCTGACTGAAGAATAAAACAGGATAATTACGTTTGAAATTGCGCTACACTATAAGATATAAACGTACGCGGCTGTAAAATCATTTTCAGCTGAAACTGTTATATAATGTGGTTCCACTATATCGTCATTGCCCACTCGCCTCACTAATTTATGAGCATGTGGTATTCTAAAGTCTTCATCGGCTGTGACCAATGTGCAACGTATTATCGCTTTATCCAAAAAATTGTGTAACTGAAAGTTTGAATAATAGTAGTAAACATCGTTATGAAGAGATTAGTTTAAGACAATTAATTTCTTTGGCAATTCCCTTCATATTCATTACACTCACCTGGACCGTGGGTACGCTATTTCTACTTCGTTTACGTCCAGTAGTGGTATGTAGACCGTTCAGGCTTCCATGTGTCCCCACCATTTCAGATTTGTATCGAAATCTGAATTTCTCCACTGGCTGCACCAAGATACTGAGGGATGCTTCCATACCAAATATCGTTTCTAACAGATTGAAAAAGTTTGATGTACATTCTCCATGGAAAATAATCGTTACTAATATTAGACGATAAGGGTTTAATATTGTATATATTGTTCATAATTCGGATGCACGTATGTATGTATACGTAGGAACAGTATTGACAAGTTATGTCTTAGACAAGACGATTTAAAATCAAAATGCATACCTGCATTTGTTAGATTAATAAAATCATCTGTAATGTGCAGAGGCGACGTCGACATGGGTGACATATTGCTCATAGTTCCCTGAGATCCAGAACTACTAAATGGACTTAAAATGTCTGTATTACTACCAATTGGCGTTAAATCTGGAAAAAACAAGACACACATATGTAAATTATAAAATCTTTTGATTATTTTTTCGTGGGTATATAAATACGTTATATTATATATAATATTATATATACAGCAATAAGTCACCTTCTTCAGGATTCATTTTAATGTACACGATACACAAATATCAGGTTACGTCGAGAGAGTAAGTACCGTTTGAATATTAAAAATAATTATAATTCAAAACGCCTTTTTATTAATTTTTATTTCTTTTAATACCTAAATAGTAGTTGTCTCACTAAAACTTTGGCTTTTCTCGAATATATTTTATAACTGTCTTAAAATGTAAAATATAAATATGAAATAGTGATGCGACAAAGAGAGATCATGGACATCTATGTCCATGAGAGAGATACATTCCAAGATGAATAAGATATTCAAGAACACAACGCAGATTTATATTAACAATGTCATTTCTAATATCTGTCAGGCAAACAAGGAGCACGATTGGTTTTTTTACATCCAGATTCTTTCTCGTATTAACAATTGTCAATTGTGACTTAAACTCCAGAACAGAAAGTGTAAATATCACGCGAAGCCAAGAGGATGTCAACTGACACATCTGACACGCTTCGGGATGTGCGCGCGCTTGTATTACCGTTGAAGTACGGGCCCTCATTATCCGCGGTGACGTCGGTGGTCAGTATGCTCCGCATCGCTATGTTAATATTCTCGTACGCGTCCGGCATCTCTTTCTCTCCGGCCGGCGATTCTCTTCACTTCGCAGAAGAATTAGCGAGATGCGAGTAGTGCGCGATGCCCGTCTGTCACGCGCGAATGTCACCAAGTGTCACTGAGTATCGAAGGCTTGTAGATCTACGAGCGCCGGCGGACTCTCGAGTCCTGAGACAACGCGCCCCGACGTAATGCAAGCTTGTTACTCACCAGACGCGCGTAATCAACTGCCTTTAATTCCGGAGTGCGTCAACGGCATATAACCTTGACGATGATCTCCGGTTCTTCCCCGGGAATTACACACATCCACCAATCGCGCGTCAACGTGGCGTGCACGGATTTTCCGTAACTAGGGACGTATCCGCGTTACACGACGCCCTGGTGAAGTGTGAACCGCTTGTGCGCTCAGGAATGTCTTCACGATCCTCTGCGCTCTTGTTCTCACGGAATCCATAAACAACTCGATTTTCAGTTTGATAAACAGCATTAATATTTTTTTGGCTACCAGATCTGTTTTGCGTATACCTAAAATCCCGCAGGAAAATACGAATGCTATTATACACGTTTTAATAGAAATAATACATACATTATATATCTTAATAGAAATATGTACCTAATCATAATATTATTATAGTATCTGTCTTCGCTTTCTTTCATATAATTCCTGTCTCGAAATACAATACACACATTGTGTTTCCTACTGTTTCACGCTTTCTGCTTTTCATTCCAATTTTTGCTATATACTTTTGTATAGGTTTCATGGAGACGTTTTCCAAAAGTATGAATAATACTTCATCAAGTTCGTATTACTGAAATCGGTAGATATTCATCGCTCGTTAGAAGACAGAAGACAATTAGTTAAAGCACTCATGTGAAAAGTTCTCAGGGTCAGTTGCATTCCGATTCGCTTTACGAGCTCTCAATCTTTTCTTCATGCTGTAAAATGTAATATCAAAATAATTTTGATTAATCTCAATTAGCAAAGTTTAATATTAGGATAACCAATTCAAGTTGAACAAGTGAAATTGCACAGCGTTATTATATATAAGGATACTATTATAAAATTTTGTTAAGGCAAAGAGAGAGAAATGATAATGCAGTTGAAAGTAAAATAAAATATCACATGTTAATTAGCATGTGCAATAAATTATTAGATGAATCTTGCAAGAATTTTCGTAGACGCTACATCTTTCTCTGGTTCCTCCGTGTTTATTCCGGTGAAAGTATGTTGTGCCAGTCATGAGTAAATTATCTGTTTATTTTTATCTTTGCTTGATATGATTCTTATAGTCTTCAAGTATATTGACATGCCTGCTCTGATTATTGCATGGTTCTTCGAATTTTCCGTAGATAGACTTTCGAAAAAATTCATTCGACTAAATAATTTTAACTTAATGAATTTTTATATATTAAATGTAATTTTTTGGCATACTATCGATCTCTCTCTCTGTCTCTCTCTCTCTCTCTCTCTTTCTCTTTTATCTTAATTTGCGAGCGCTGCAAACGTAATAACTCTGGTAAATTCCACTCTAGATAATCATTGCCGAAATAATTCAAAAAAACAATTCAATACAATTTAAAAATTTTTCTTGACAAAAAAAACTACGAAAAATTATTATTAATCATATAACGTCAGAAAATTTTGAGATATAATCACGCACGTAATTTTACATTTCTATTGCATTCCCAGCTCTACTAAAAAAGCTCTAAATGCATTAAAATAAATTTTTAAACTTTTTAAAAATTATAAGTATTAATTATAATTAAAAACTTGTTATATTAATTGTATTTTATAAAAATTAAACACATTAATTATAATCCATGTAAGTCATAAATAATCGTGTGCTAAAGACTTACGCCAGGAACTTGAATACTTTTTTATCATAAAGAAAAGTTATCTAGAATGAAGTCGTTTAATTTTCGCGAAGCTGACACGACCATATCGATCGACTGCTCTCGGTTGCTACTGTCGTAATGTACGTTCTACAAGATAACGCTGTGGTAAATATCTATGATAGCGCCTTCAGTACAGAACGTCTCATATAATCTTACAAGACCCATTAGCATACACATATGGTGGGGATACTGATAGCACGCATATATATTTCTGAACACCTTCAAGCTGTCCGTGAGTATAAAATTCCACTCGTTACACGACTCACGGAAACGCTTTCTCTGCAGACATCCGACCTATATCGGTAACGATGACAACTAAAAATGAAAAGATTGGAATCATTGGAAGGTAAAGTAATCCATTTGTAATTTAAATTGTTCAAAACTGCAAACTGTTATAATTATGTAACACGTTTATTTTCAGATAATTGATAATTGATTACTCGTTACAAATTGATTGTAACAAATAATCACAGTAATTGATCATGAGCCAATTACTAACAATTTTTTAACAAGTATCGATAAGTTTACGAGTGCCTTATACTAGATTGATTACTTTGTTCGCAAAATCGGTTTTCCCTCATAATTTTAATTATTTTTTAAATTATTTAAGAATTGTGATCTTTAAGAAATTTATTTAAAGGTGCGTTTAAGGTGTCATTTCAACAATAACTAAAATAGCTGACAGTTTACGCCTATAAAAATAAAAAATTAAAATAAAATGTATTTATAGAACGTTAACATAAAAGAAATGTAATGCTTTAACTTTATAAAATTGACCTTCACAGCTGATTCACACAGCTGATTTCACAGAGACTGTTAGATTAGAAAGGAAAATTCTAATGTTTTTACTATCATGATGTATAGCGAGTCATAATATCAAACAACAAACACATTCGATATATTGATAACTTAAATAGCAAATGTAAATGCGAATTAATTTTATTGTATTCTCAATTTTAGTTATTTACAGCTATTATTAGCGCGTTCTGTAAAAGTAATGAATTTTCATTTCATTGTGCATCCGATTATTTCATGACATCTTATCACACTTTATTAATCGATTATCGCATCATGCCATTTTTTCAAACGATCACATCGCGATTTACGAAAAAGAAATAGCAAAACTGTTAAGTAATTGCATTTTTTTTGTGAGCTATATTTGTCCGAAGATAAGATAATGCGCGAAGTGGTAAAAACAACGTTTCTCACTTCAATTATATCTAACAGAATGACGCACTTGCGATCATCTATAATTTTTACATTGATCTGTAAATAGGCGTTTTACAGATAAAACACGCGAGAATGCAAACTTGAAATTGAGAATTTAACGCTATAAACATACGAGAATGCAGATTTGAAATTGAATATAAAAGAATCTTGTACCTTTTCATGAGATTATTTTATCTTTGTCTTAATATCTATTTCAGCGGTTTAATTGGACGCAGCTGGGCGATGCTCTTCGCCAGCGTGGGATACCAGGTGACTATTTATGATATCGTTCAGGAACAAATTAAGAGCGCATTGGAGGACATCCGTCAGCAATTGAAACGTCTCGAAAGTGGCGGCCTTCTCCGTGGTACACTAACGGCGGATCAGCAAATTAATTTGATAAAGGGTTTGTTTTTGCCTACCTTTTTCCTTTAGATTCAATACTACAGCAATCGTTTTTATGCCTTAACGCCGAAACGACTAACGTGAAATGTAATGATTGCAATGATTACGTGTTAAGATCCAAAATCGATTTCTTGTAGTTGACGGGATAACGTTTGGGATGATTTTTTCCAGGAAAATTCCATTTTCATGTAATGTAATGAAGGATTTGTTTGTAGGATCGTCCGATTTGGCGGAGACTGTGAAGGGAGCGAAATTGGTCCAAGAATGCGTGCCGGAAAATCTCTCGTTAAAGATGAAACTTTACAACGATCTCGACAAAGTCGTTGACAACAAGGTGATCTTATCGTCTTCGACGTCCACATTTCGTCCGTCTCTTTTCAGTGAAAAGCTAAAACATCGTGAGCAGATTATCGTCTCTCACCCCGTACGTATTCACAGACTACTTATAGTAGTACAGCAAATGACAGATTTCTTTTCGCTAAAGCTTCGCACTACAAACCCAATTTACATATAAGAATTCATATTTATAGTACATTATATCTAAGAAAGTTCCATTATATATGACAAATTTATGAATTATAAGATTTTTAAGATAATATATTGGGTTTATAGTTAGAAATTTAATTTGTGATTTCTGATGCGGATAACAAATACTTTTTTTTCAATTTTATTGACACAATTTAAAAAATAACTAAGAATCAATAAGATTAAACAAAAAAAGAGTATTTGCTATTTGCACCGTATATTTATTACATTATTTGATATTAACTATTATGATATTGCAAATACAGGTGAATCCTCCTTATTACGTGCCGCTTGTGGAAGTAGTGCCAGCTCCATGGACGCGTTCTGATATTCCTGAGAAAACAAAGGCTATCATGACTGAGATCGGTCAGAAACCCGTTGTTTTCGGCAAGGAGATTGACGGCTTTGCGCTCAATAGAATACAGTATGTAATCGAACGTTTTGTTTGATCGTTCAATTATTTCTTCACGTCATATATAAGACTCATATTAATAGGTATGCAATCTTAAATGAAACCTGGAGACTGGTGGCTGACGGAGTGTTAAGTGTAAAAGACATTGACGCAGTAATGAGCGAAGGTCTTGGGATGCGTTACGCCTTTCTTGGTGCCTTCGAGGCTGCGCATCTGAATGCGGAAGGTAAGCCAGTCGTCCTGATGCGAAAAGAATCGTTAAGTCGTCTACTGTAAAAACTAAGCGAAAGGAAATGCAATTTGCAATTTATTATTTTATAGGAATGAAGAAGTACTGTGAAACATATCACAAATCGATCTACGATACGAGCATGACTTTTGGACCGGTGCCTAAATTCACCGGCGAGATGGCGGAGAAGATCAGCAACGAATTGAATGAAATGTGTCCGCTCGACAAATTGCAGGAGCGACGCGCATGGCGAGACACCGCCTTGACGAAGTTGTCCATACTCAAGAAAGAGTTAGATCAAATAAAACAGTAAAAATTTATATTTGTACATATGCAATTGACGTGCCAACGTTAAAACTGTATAAAAAACAGATCCATATGAGTAAATTTTATCAGACTAAGACCGTGAGTTTCTTCATGGAAAAAATATTAGAAACGAATAAGTATAAGAATTTCAGTCTATCCATAATAAAGAAACCGTGTACTGTGGAATACAATTTGATAGAGTGAAAATTCTTTTATTCCTGTTACTAATATTTCTTTCATAGTGCTCTAAATGTGAAAGATGTATCACTGTGATTGTAAAAATTAAATGCAAATTATATATATATACTAATACAATCGAGATCTACATATTACTTGAAATCTTTATTATTTGAATTGAATGCCTATCTCGAAATTATTCCTTTAACTATAAATTTTTTAATTAAAAAAAAATAAGTCTCAAAATGAATTTATATTTTATTTTATTTATATAGCTACAGACTTTAACGCTTTGCTCCGACGCGAGGTGCGGACTTTTGCGTCACCTTGGCAACCTTCTGTTTTGCCACCTGTTTTGCTTTTGCAGGCGCTACAGCCTTCTTCGTTGCCTTTGCAGCTCTCTTTTGTTCCTTTGCCGCCCTGCGGAAAAGAAAATAAGTGAATCAATTAAACGATATTATTGTAGCATAATATTAGATGATACTATCGCATCGATTGTATGAATCCGCAAAAGCCAGACAATGTAATTGAAGATACAGTTCCGGGTGAAGTAATTCAGTTTTATTCTAAGACATTCTGAAATCTGATGAAGCAGAAGAGGCTTTGTCAGAGGAACAGATGTCTTGCATGCAGTTCGTCTTCGAGCAAAAAATATACTTGCTCTTCGAGATATTTCTTAAAATGCCTCAAAGCAAATAATTCTTTAATGAAACAAATGAATAGAGACGATCGAAAGAACACATACTTGATTGCCTGTTCCCTCTGTGCCTTGCGGATCTCTGGCTTCATGTTACGTTTAGCCAAGATATCTGTGAGGGAAGCGCCAACGATGGCACGCTGGAACTTTTGAGTACGCCTCGTCCTCTTCTTGGTCTGCTCCTCCTCCTGACCCTTCTTGTGTTTACGTCTGAAAGACAAATCGCGCATCGCGTTAACAACAGCTGAAGCTGGAGAAACTTTGCACGCCGGCCTGACGTATTCTTTACCTGTACAAAACGGTCCATGTCACCTTCCTAGGATTTCGCCTCATCAAGTGCGCGGACTCGCACTTCGAGTTGAGGAAGGTGAATGTCTGCGGAAAGGAGCCTGAGGTTAGTTACGCCAGCACGTGCAACAACAAGGGGCGAAATGGATGCGCGGCGCGTCGCGGTAATCGAAAAACGTGACGGGGCCGCGATCCCTGACTGTCTCGCTCGTATCGTCGTTATACCGTCGACGTTACGTCGCTCGTCCCGGCGATACTCACCTTCCCGTCAACTTTGACCATGGTCTTGCCATGGCCCGGATATATCTTGTACCCGCTGTACGCGCACAGGCCGATCCTGGAAATATCATACGTGGATTAATACGGACATCGCGGTGGTGCGATGCACCGCGTGCCCGTCGTGGATACAACGGGATCGCACCGCGGGCATCGGATATGTATCTTCCACGGAAAAATCGCAACTTACTTCATCTTGACACACGACGCGGAGAAACGCGTTCGACAAAAATGGCCGATCTTCCCTTCCCGCTGCTTCGTGCTTACGGCCGGTGCCGCCAGTGGCGCCAGTGTTGGACATGTGCAAACGCTAGCGTCGTAATTATGCGCGCGCTATAATAGTGCAGCGGAAGAATAAATTCAATAAACCTCCGCTAAAATGTGGTTCGAGTCTCCGCTAACAAGTGGGGTTTGAGCGGTTTGAGCCAGCTGCTCCTCTGACCTCTGACAAAATGAGTATAATTCCTGTGTATGAATTTAGCGGAGACTCAAACCCCACT